ACCGACGAAACAAGTAACAAAATACAAGAACCAAAATCGCAAAGAATAGAACAAACTGGGGAAGATCTTCGTAGAGAATTGAAGGAACATAGCGAACTTTTAAGAAACAGCTTTACTAGAATTGAAATGTTAAGTGACAAGATTGATAACCACCAGAAAGTGCTTGAAGGCACTACGTACGTGAGTGTGGCAGCGGGTCGGACAGCGAAGAATCCCCCGCAAACGACAACGCTCCACTCGGTGATTGTCACCTCTACGAACGAAACGGACACTGGCGATGAAGTTATCCAGAAATTTAAAGATGCTGTTAAAGACGAAGAAGGCTGGATAACAGTTGACAAGATTCGGAAAGCAAAGGACAGGAAGGTGATAATTGGATGTAGGAGCAAGGAAGAAATCAAAAAAGTAGCGGAAAGAATTAAAAAGGGTAGCAACCAATTGAACGTAGAGGACATCAAAAATAAGGATCCTCTAGTGGTCTTATACGGAGTCATGCAGTCCTATTCGGACGATGACCTCGTTAAAGCCATTAGAGCGCAAAATCGCCATCTCCTGGGAGACATAAAGCAAGAAGAAGATCGCATGGAGATACGGTTCAGGAGAAGAGCGAGGAACCCCTTAACTGCTCATGTAGTACTCAGGGTCTCACCCATAATTTGGCAGAGAATGACCGAAGCGGGTGTTGTACACGTGGACATATGGAGGATAAGAGTGGCCGACCAGTCCCCCCTGATACAGTGCTCGCGCTGCCTAGGGTATGGACATGGCCGGAAATTCTGTACCGAAGAAGCCGATGTATGCAGCCACTGTGCTGGACCGCACCTTAAAACTGATTGCCCAGATCTCTCAATCAAATTGACGCCCAAATGTACAAATTGCGAAAAAGCAAAAAATCACAGTGTAGACCATAACGCATTCAGTTCCGAGTGTCCGGTGCGTAGAAAATGGGAGGCCTTAGCCAGGTCTTCCATAGCGTATTGCTAAGGTTGTCCCGGGGTATACAATAGTGCAAGCAAATCTCCAGAGAAAGAAACTCGCTACGATAGAGTTGCTGACCGAATCCCGCAAACAAGGAATTTCTATCGCATTGCTTCAGGAGCCGTATGTGGGAAACGCTCGAGGTATGAGGAGCTACCGGGGTACAAGGATATATCAGAGTATTCACCAGGGAGAAGGCACAGTCAAGGCCGCTATAGTGGTCTTCGACTCGAATATTAAGGTTACGCAGTACCCGCAATTTACTACAGACAATGTGGTAGTTGTGGGAATTCGAGATGGTGACACAAACAATTACCCTGGTGTCCTATTACTTCGAGCCGAATTTACCCATAGAGCCATACCTAGAGCATATAGAAAAAGTAGTCAAAGAAATGGGTCATAATAAAATGGTCATAGGTGGGGACGCTAACGCAAAGAGTAGCTGGTGGGGAAGTATAACTGATGACAATAGGGGCGCTGAAATGGTTTCAGCTCTCGACGATATGGGGCTCCATGTGCTGAATGTTGGGAACACTCCAACTTTCGACACAATAAGAGGAGGGATAAGATATAGCAGCCATGTCGATGTAACGGCCTGTACTTCGAACATGATTAACAGGATACAAGAATGGAGAGTAGATGAAAACCTCACGGGCTCGGACCATAACGGGATTGTATTTAAGATAGAAGGGAAAAAATCAACGACTAATAACATTATAAGAACCACTAGAAAATACAACACTCGCAAGGCAAATTGGCCTCAGTTTCATGAGAAACTGAACCAATTTAACATGGAACAAAAATTAACAATAGCTGAAATAAATAACATTAACAGTAAAGGTGAAATAGAGTCAATAGTAGAAAAATACACAAAATCAATAGAACAAGCATGCAATCATTCAATACCTAAAAAGAAAAATACTGAGAAACTTACCATCCCGTGGTGGTCCGACGAGCTCGAAGAGATGAAACGGAAGACCTCCACACTGAAGAACAGGATCCGCTGTGCAGCACCAATTCGTAGAGCGAAAGTAGTCGATGAGTACCTGAAACAGAAAGAAAAATATGAAACAGCAGCAAAAGCGGCCGAAGTCGGGAGCTGGAAGGAATTTTGTGGGAAGCAGGATAAGGAAGGAGTGTGGCAAGGAATATACAGAGTGATCGGCAGAGTTACTAAACGAGAAGAAGATCTCCCATTGCAACATGAAGGAAAGCTTTTGGACGCGAAGGGTTCTGTCAAGTTGTTGGCCGAAACTTTCTATCCAGAAGACCTTATCTCAAATGATAATGCAGATCACAGTAATATTAGAGAAATGGCAGCAACAATAAACGATGGACACCAAAGTGATACCTGGGATCCACCGTTCACACAAGCGGAGCTCTCGATGGCTGTAAATACATTTAACGCGAAAAAGGCCCCCGGAGTTGACGGCTTAACGGCCGACATTTGTAAACAAGCAATTGAAAATGACCCAGAACTCTTCCTAGCAATAACAAATAAATGCCTGAAACATAGTCATTTTCCAAAACCATGGAAAGAAGCCACGGTAGTTATTCTCAGGAAACCGGGAAAGACCAATTACACCGAACCGAAATCATATCGACCGATCGGTCTACTACCTGTGCTAGGGAAAATTTACGAAAAAATGATAGTTGCCAGATTAAAATACCATCTCGTGCCAAGGATTAGTACTCGCCAATATGGATTCATGCCCCAGAAGAGCACCGAAGACTCCCTCTATACTCTTATGCAGCATATACATGCTAAAATAAAACAGAAACGCATAATAACTTTAGTTTCACTAGATATAGAGGGAGCCTTCGACAGCGCATGGTGGCCGGCCATAAGAGTCCGATTGGCTGAGGAAAGATGTCCCATTAACCTGCGAAGAGTAGTGGATAGTTATTTGGAAGATAGGAAGGTGAAAGTTAAATACGCCGGTGAAGAATATGATAGGGGAACCACTAAGGGATG